TATTACCTGGTACATTACTGGTAATGTAACCTGTTACATTAACTCTGGCATAAATGAGCCTGAACTTTAAAACATCCCGTCTGCTGGTTGGTTGGACATATTCTGGTTCTTCTGTTTTAGTCAGAAATTTTATTTTTCCTCCAGCTGGTCGTCAATAGAAACTACATTAATGATCATCAAATCTTTTTTCCCTCAGAGAAACTTTCTGTGGAGGAACTTTGGCCCGGACTGATCGACAAAGTGAGTCATCTGTGGAAGACGACTCTCACTAAATGCATGTTGGTTTAAAATGGGTTTAATGTGAGACGTTGCTACGTTACACATTGTGTTGGTTTTCCTCTCTGCTGCAGTCAGAGGGGCCCAAAGCCTGAGGGCCACTTACGGCCGTTTTTGGGCCCCGGTTCTTAAGCCACCGTTGTTCAGGATCTTCAGATGAAGAGACATCTGGAATCAAAAAGTATCAAAATGTTGGAGCAAAATTCAGCTGTTTTTGCAGAATATTTTCTTTTTGACACCAGGTTGAAGCCATGGAGTCGGTCATCGAGCTGCTGCTGGAAACTGTGGGTGATCTCAGTGAAGAGGAGCAGATGTTCTTCATCACGCTGTTGGGTCAGAGTCAGCGTGACGTTGCAGACAGACTGCTGGCCGTCAAGGAGCTGCTGCCAGCTGTGCTTGTGATGGTGCAGATGTTCGGCCAGCGGTCTGTGCAGATGACCAGGCAGGTTTTAAAACGGATGAGGAGGACAGATCTGCTTCCAGACATTTCAGCATCCAGAAGACCACAAGCAAGTAAGGCAGTAAAGATTAAACCTTAAAAATGTTGGTCAGTCGTCTGCTTTGGTCTGACGTCTGAAGCTCTGCGTGGTTTTCTCTCAGAGAAACTCCCAGCGGACCAGAGAAGCTCTGCTGCTCTACAGAAAGTGAGGAACGTCTGTTTTCCTGCTCAGCTTTTGTTACAGAAACGGTTCTTTTCTCTGATGAGATTCTGTTGCTTTAAAGACAGGAGGACTTCATACAAACTGCTGTGTGTGATTATATCTTAATACATTATAATGAGCACATTTGTGCTGATGTTTTGTTGCAGGTGGCTCTGATTGCAGCTTTCAAGCAGCTTCTCACAGAAATCCTGAGTGATTTGAAGAAACAGGAGCTGGAGGACTTCAAGAAGTCGCTGCGCTCCACCCTCAGCCTCTCTGGGAAAAACCTCTGGTATCCTTCGATGAGGCTGAGATTTGGACCGTTTGTCCCAAACGTTGCGAATGAGATGGTGGAGGAGTTGGGCCTGCAGTCTGTGGAGGTTTCCATGGAGATTTTAATGGACATAAACAGGAGCGACCTGGCAGAGCGGCTCCTGGAGACCAGCTCCGGTCTTAAAGGTAATTCAGACAAATCTGGATCCTGCAGTCTGAACGGCCTCAGGTCTTCTTAGGATGAGAGAACATCTGTCCTGATGTTTTAATCTGGAAACACTCAGGCAGAGAGGAGTTCACCTCAAACCCAAACACCCAAACACAACATGCAGGAATGGAACTGGACTTTTAGAGAAACTGACCGACTCAGCAGAACCAAACGCAGCAGTTCGTCTGGACCTCTGTGGCAAACTGAAGACAACAAGATTAACATTTTGGACAGGCAGAGTGAGAGCCATCTTTGTGACACTGGACTGGAGCAGAGGAAGTGGCTTCATCGTTCTTACACCGACACTCATCACCCAGCTGGCAGAAACTCCAGCTGGAGACGTTGGTCCTAACAGCCCATGCTGTCGTTGTTGGGGACTTTTAGGATCGTCGGCGTCAACGACACTCACAGGGAACTGAAGTGGGTAGAAAATGGCCTCCTTAGTGACCTCTACCGGTGTGATAGTTTCTGATTACAACTTAAAAGCCTGATGCTTTCAACTCCTGACCTGAAGAAGTCTCTGGGACGAGACTCCAGTTTCCTCCAACTAAAACTCCAACAACTCCTGGAAGATCCTGAGCTGGATCTCCACCTTCACCAGACTTTCATCTTGTTTGAGTTCATCTGGTTTGTCCGACACGTTTCTCAGTTTCTCCTCTTCGTTGTGCTCAGCCATCCCATTTCATTGGTCTCCAACGGTTACCTCTGGTTTCCTGTTCAGCTGAACTGCTGTCTGATGCAAAGAAGCCCAGAGAGGAAGAGCTGCAGGTCAGACAAACCGTCCCACATCGGCACGTCCGTCCCCCTCCGTCCCTTCTTCACCACATAAGTCACCCAACCTTGATAGGATGTCCTCATGGTGGGACGTCATGGTGGGACGTCATGGTGGGACGTCCTGCTCCTCTTAAAGCAACAGGAACCAAGGCTTGACCACCAGGCTGGAAAGCTTTTCCTCAGGTCTCCAGGGTCTCCAGGTTTCTCTTTTCTGAGCAAATAAAATGATTTTCTGTGCTCTTCAAACATAAAAGTTTTGATTAGTTCTTAATGTGGCAATTCTCTAAAAATGAAAGAAATGTCTAAAACAATTCCTGCAACAATATTTTTAATGAAGTCTCAGCATCAGCCTCCAATGTTTTATTGCTGGAAATGTTTCATGGTTTTCTTGTTGTTCTTCATTTCAAATGAATTCAAGGTCTTACAGAACATTATGTTTTACATTTCTTCAGGAAAGGTGTCCATAGATGAATATCAGAGAGTGACCATGCTAAACACAGTAAGTGAAGCATTCTGTGATCCTTTTTGTTAGAGAACAAAGTGGAGCAGGAGTTATGATTGGCAGAGTTAAACTTCACCTGGAGAAATGAGCAGGTCGGCTTGTATCCAGTAGATCCAAACCGTGAACTGGGACCAAGGAAACGGAGATGAAACAGGAACACAGCTCTCTCACAAATAAAACTTCCTGTCATGATCCTGGGAAATGATTCAAGGTCTTTAAATGTTTCAGGTTCCAGGAAAGATGGCCGTGAGAAGCACTCTTCTGAAGATGATGATGGAGTTGGGCCACAGCGATGTCTGGAGGTTCAAACGCTTGCTGCAGTTCACATGTTTCCAGAAAAGCCTCCCAGAACTCCCAGTCAGTGTGCTGTGGCCCATGAACTGGACCGGCAGGGCGGCGGATCCGGGACTGGAGGGACCGGCAGACCTGGTGGATCAGATGGTGAAGAGACTAGGAGGGGAGTCTGTGGGTGTGGCCCAGGAGGTTCTGATGGACATGAACAGAACTGATGTGGTTCAGAAGCTGGCCGGGATCAGGTCCGGATCAACAGGTTGGACTTTACAGGGAAGAATTATCAGCATGTTTAAAAAGTTACAGATTTTCAAATGTTCCTCTTGTCCTTTTCCCTCAGAGGAGTTTCAGTCGCTGTTGTTCCAGAAAGTAAGTACAGCTGCATCATTTCATATCTTCAGGTCTATGCACCTAAAAATGAGTCTAGAAAAGTCCAAAACATCTTCAGAGGGTCAAACTTCTGGAAAAACTTAAAGCCAGCAGTCAGTCGGTCCAAACTGCAGCTCAATAAAACCGTTTAAGCTGAACCATGTAGACCATAAACCGAACCCAGTGATGGTTCTGAGCAGCGACTGCAACTCTAGAAACGAATAAATCTTCCCACGTTGGACTCAGACAGCTGAACCCTTTAAACCAGAGACTGGACCTGTTCTTCAGTTGGTTCTGCAGGGCAGGACACCATTTGAGAGAATCTGATGGAGACTCCAAGCTTTTTGAGGAAGGTTCAGGTCTCGGATCCTGATGTTTGAGCAGACAGCCAGTGTTTGGTTCTGTTAATTAAAGCCAAACATCTTGACTTTAGTCTCAATAACCCAGAGGACATTGCTACAGTAGTCTCTACAGGCAGAGGAGGCCTGTGTGTTCCCTCTCTTTTCTAACTATCATACATTTTAAGTTGCCTCACTAAGGTGACTAACATTCTCATAATATTCTCATTTGTTCAGACATGATTTCCAACAAACAAATGATCTGTTTCACTCCTCAGGAAGCAAGTCTAACGGCAATTATGGAGAAACTTCTAGAAACATTTGAAGATTTAGGTGAAGCAAAGTTTGAACATTTTCAGAGAGTCGTACAGAAGAGTTTGTCCAGGAAAGCCGGGAGAGGAACCGTCGCTATGGAGACGGGAAGGAAGCTGAAGGTGGCAGAGCTGATGTTGGAGCAGTTTGATGAGCAGACGTTAGACATGGCGGCGCTGGTTTTAAAGCAGATTCATCGCTCTGATCTGGTGCAGAAGATCTCAGGAAACATCCCAGCAGGGCCATCAGGTGAGTCAGTTTTCTGACGACGATGGATCACTGACGTCTCTTCAGCCGGTCATGTTTAAGTCTTTCTCCTTTGTTCAGTTACTGTACAGTGAAACCAGGATGCTTTCGTTTTTCCTGTACAATTTTAGCAAACTGGAGATTCTGTAAAACATCGACCGTCAAGTAAAATTAGATACATGAGATTAAATAATCTTGTTTCTCCAGCAGGACCTTCACGGGTCGCCAAGGGTCGTGAAGAAAAGGTAGTTTCTCAGTATTTGATTTGTGATATTTACATTTTATTTATTAGCTCCTCTGTGAGAACAGTGTCTGGTCTGCATCCTGCAGCTGGACTCCAGCTGCTGGACTGAACTGGTACCAGAGGTGAACCAGACAGAATCTCCAACCTACAGGTGAAGCAGCATCAGGCCTGCTGCTCAGGAAACACCAGACTTCAAGTAAACGTTTTCCCAACGTCATTTCAGCCTCCAGAGTGAAGCTGGACTCTTTGAGTGCAGCGTCTCTGGTCTGCGCTGGTTCTGCTCCGAACGGGTCGTCTTCAGGTACCGGTTCTGCTCCTGGGACGGACACATGGAGAGGATGGAGAGCAGAGGATACCGGCCTGCTGGTCCTTTACTGGACATCAGTCTGATTACTGGGAGGATGACGGAGGTGTTCCTGCCTCACTGGATCTGTGTCGGTAGGAGAACATGATGGTACCAAACCTTTTAACACCGTTGACCCAGAACTTTTCCTGCTCTTTGCGTTTCCTTCAGACGACGTCCGTAAACCTTTGGAGCAGTTTGCTGTCCTCCACATGGACGACTGTGGAGACGCTGTGGAGAAAGTCTCTGAGGTCTCACCGTCACACGTCAAACTGGCTGAACCCGTTTTCTCTCCCAGAGCGGTTCTGATGAGAGCCGGCTTTCCTGTGAAGGTCTACTGCAACATGTTGCTCTATCGGACCAACACGGCTTTCCTCACGCTGCATGTTTACCTCATCCCACGCGACCCGGCCTTACAGCAGGTTAATATGGGTCCAACAGAACCAGCTTCACGGGTCAGAAATATTAGAACTTCATCTTGGTTTCATTCACAGGCAATGGACCGGAAAGAATCTTCTTATGGGTACAAAGTGATCCAAAAGCCCGACCCGGAGAAGTCCCTGAAAATGAACGATTACTTCTTCCTCACATCAGACCTGGAGGCTGCAGAAGTTTCTCCTAAAGTAGGTTTGAAACGGTTTCAATGTTCATGTTTTGCATCCAGTTAATTGCAGGTTCCCATCAGATTGGCCCGGTTTCTCACATTAACATCACTGCATGCAGTAAAGGTAGCTGATGATACCAGAACATGAGTTCAGGCAGGAAAGCATTTGGTGTTAAATGGTTTCAGATGGGCTGCACAGCCTGTGCATGTGTGGGTTTTCTCCGGGTACTCCGGTTTGCTCCCACAGTCCAAAAACATGACTGTCAGGTTAATTGGCCTCTCCAAATTGCCCCTAGGTGTGAGTGTGTGTGTGCATGGTTGTTTGTCCTGTGTGTTTCTGTGTTGCCCTCGACAGACTGGCGACCTGTCCAGGGTGACCCCGCCTCTCACCCGGAACGTTAAATGGAGAGGCACCAGCACCCCTCCCGACCCCACTAAGGTGTAAAGGTGTAAAGAAAATGGATGGATGGTTTCAGATGAGAAGCCATTGAGGCGATGCTGCACTGAGCCGGTTCTCCTGTCTGCTTTCAGACGGGAATTAAACTCCGATATCCAAGAGGAAAACCAAATTTCTTTGAGGTTTATGTTGAAAATGCAAACAGAAACTTCAGTCTGACACTCAGACCCGACAGAGAGGACCAGCCGGTTTGGGAGTGTTCTGTTCGAAAAGGTCCGGTTCACATTCATTTTTATTCATTCAGAACAAAAGACTCTTTAGGGAAACTAAGCTGTTTCTTAGCAGCTTTGCCTCATTATGAGGAACAAATGCATCTGATTGGTTGGTTTTATTCCCGTTTCAGATGAGTATCAAAGCAGTGGCCAAGCACAAGGTAAGACAAACTGATGTGGTGGTCAAAAGTATTCATACACAGCAAATTTGGAAGTGTTAATTCAACTCCTAGAGAACTGAATTCAACACTTTGAAAGTGTCTATATTGGTCCACTCTTGATTGTGTTAAAATGACACTTATGAAAGTGTTATTTGTGATGGAGTTGAATCAACACAGTAAAAAAATGGACTGAACTTATATAGCGCTTTTCCAGTAATTTTGACCACTCAAAGCGCTTTACACTAGAGTCACATTCACACACCAATACACAAATCGGTTAAGTGCCTTGCCCAGGGGCACATCAACATGTGGCAGGAGGAAGCTGGAATCAAACCTACAACCCTCCGATCACAAGATGACTACTCTACCCACAGAGCCACGGTCGGCCAACTCAGTAGTTGAAATTTAAAACACATCAACGTTGATTTACCTGACACTAGTGTGTAGTGTCAAAAGTTAACACTATAAATGTTAATTTAACAAAGAATAATGTTAAGTATAGAACATAGAAATCTGAGATTTAAAATACTACTGGTGAGATGGTTAAGCACAGCCTACATATAGTCCTCAACATGGCTGTCGCAGGTTTGCTTCTACTGCACGTCTTCCCCTTCTCCCATTACCCACTTTTCTGTCAATTCACTATCAAATAAAGGCCACAAGGGCCAATAAAACCTTTTTTTCCTCAGAAAATACCACTGGTAGTCAATAATCCCCAAATTCATTTTAAAAGACATTAGATGCCACTTGAATCTACAAAAACACCAACACAAGCTGCAGCATATAATCTACTTTTATTTCAAAACATCAAACAGCACTGCCAGCAATTTACAACAAAGGTCATATATTCATGGTACTTTGCACTGAAGGTTAAGTGTGCTGTGAAAGTTCATCAAAAGCAGCCATGGATGGTCTTGTGATCAATGATGGTGAAGTGTCCTTGGTGCTGCTCTTGTTTTCACCAACATGCAGGAGGAAG